ACCCCCACCGAGAGAAGTCCCACCCCCACCGGACAAAGCCCCATCTCCAACCTAGTGTAAAGGAGGAAGGGAGGAGCCTCCCTGTCCCTCACTTGCTCCTCCCTGCTCATGCGCTCCGTCCATGACAGGTTACACAGCGGGGAGGATTTCCCTGCTGTGTAACCTGTTATATGCCGATCTGAATAATTCTAGGCGAGGCTCTGCCTCACTTGCCTCTCCTGACTGCACGTCCCTGCTGCAAAGTATAAACATTTTACCTTGTAGTATGCCATCCCCTGAACATAGCGCTGGGCTTCCGGGCAATGATGCGATTTGAACAGTACAGAGGTCCGTTCACATCACCCGTCCTTCATCACTATCATCTATTCACAAAATGTCATACTTTTTTAAAGAATACAAGACATTCTGTGATTGGAAGAGGAGAGATTATGTCACATCCCCGCCCCCTCCTCCTCCAATCACAGAATGTTGTGTATTAAACTGTGTATGGCAACACTAGTGTAAGCAGCAGTAAAGGGTTAAATAACTGTAACTGATAACACAAGAGCATTCATGTATTGTACAATATGACAGCAGCCTTTATGGAATTAATTTTAGGTAGTTATGCAGAAAACCTTTACATCATGAGGGTGATTTTATTTCAACATATGTTTAAAAATCAGTGAATGTGACTTTTACCAAACATTCACTTGTGGGAATTAATCACGGTTTGGTGAATGTCAGATTCACTGCTTTTTAAATGTGCACCTATAGTACACAGAAACTAGAACGCATGTAAAATAGAACCTAGCACTCCTCTGGCTGTATAAAATGCTACTGTATTTACATACACTATTTCATATTCAGAATATATTTCATATTCAAAGACTTAAGAGGTTTTTTTTTTTTTACAATTTTCTTTTTTCTTTTTCCTATTTTTAGTTTTAAAAAAATAAAATAGAAATGATGTAAAAAATCACTATGCGTTTCATTTAAATATTTACTAAGGAATCCTATATGATGATATCAAGGCTGTTGACTTAAACCTGACTTGGCTGCAGGTCAAATCAAAAGCTGGGAACCGTCAACAGGGAAGTCTTTCATTTCAGCCCTATGCTCCTCAATGCAGCAGGATATATAACTAACTCTACTAAGGAATGATATGTCATTTTCAGCAGCCTTTCACATTACATATAATCCCTGTAAGGAATTAAGAAAGAGACCTCTGGAACCACTCTGCAGTGTTATGTGTTTTCCAAACATTTTGCAGCACCAGTGAAAATTAAAATATCTTCTTCCTTCTGTTTCCAGTGATATGTAGTTTGTGAAACCTAGGGATGGACAGATCTCTTTTATGATGTCTATGAGGAATTTCCTCTGAATTCTTACAAGCATTGCGTTAAAGTTTACAGTGTATTTGGGATGGGATCTGAGAAAAAAGACTCTGCAGTCATAAAATAATGAACATTTATTTTGCTTTTCTATTCACATGAATACATCCCATGCTTTTTAACTTTGATAAATATTAGGCTCTAACGGCCCCTAATGTTTAAAGTGAATGGAAATGTTTGTAATGAAAATAGCATGATCATTTTATGTTAATGTTTTCATTATTTGTAGATAAATTACACAGTTTATAATACAGTTCTTTTCATTAAATATTATAACTCATTTTATTTTGTTCTTACAGCTGAAATAAAAATTTGTTTCAAGTATTATCATGGCATCAGTGGATCTTTGAGAGCTTCAACACCTTGCATCACTGTGAAAAATCCATCTGCTATAGTATGTATATATGAACGTTGTCATGGTCAGGTACTTGTTCTTACTGACTATTGGTCTCTTGTAGGTTCCATGCCGTAAAGCAGCATTTCCCAACCTTTTTTTTTTTAGTCACGGCGCCCTTTAAAAGTATGCAAAATATTGAGGCACCCCAGTCTAAAATGTCATGGATTTTAAGGAGTACCCCACACAAGAACACACAAAAAATGGGGTTTCCCCTTTCACATCAAAGCAAATCAAGATCCCCCCCACATAAGTAGCCCTTTCTTTCACATCAGAAAGCCCACTTCACATCAGTCTTCATTCCCCCCTTCACATCACAGTCCCACTGCCACAACATTTCGAGACACCCATCAAGAAGCCAGAAGGCACACCAGGGTGCCATGGCACCGTGGTTGAGAAGGACTGCCCTAAAGCCATACAAGACATAGCAACAGGCTTGCTTTAGTGGCCCAATCTGTAGGAGCAGATACTTATCTATCCTTTGCTCTATCGTAATTTCGTTGAGCTGCTGGGAGCAAATAAAATAAACAGCACTTCTGAGTATGGAGGAGCATGTGGTTCATTCCCTTTCTTCTCATGTAACAGCACTGGTGCTTGATGATTGGGTCAGACTATAGCTAAATAGGGCTCCATTCCTTGTTACTGTTGACTGGGGGAGTGAAGGGTAGGTAAGTATGTGCTGCCGTGGAGAGGCGCATTAGAGCAAACCTTTTGCTTTGCCCTACATAGACAAAGCACAGGTTCACTTTAACCTCAAAGAAAGGCCATACTTTAAAGTATAATGGCAATTTGATTAGATACAATAAGGAATAATGGCCACTGGTTTGATTTGACGAGGATCCAGAGTGCCAGAGCTGGTAAATACTGTGCCAGCCACCAGCAGTATAGGCAGTAAATAAGTCAGTTTCTTTTGAATGAAGATGGATTCACCATTTATGATGCAGAAGCTGGGGTGGATGGATTTTGTCTTGAATTTCAAAAAGTTAATTTTCTTTACAGTCACTCTTTATGTATGCACTGAACTACGGTGGACAAAAGAGAGAGTGGGGCTGATTTATACAGATAGGAGCAGAGCTTTCCACCCAACAAGTGAACAGATTCCTTGTTCTGTTAAAGCAACACTATAACTAAAAATATTAAAACAAATTTCAAAGGAGACTATAATATTTGCCTGGCCCGCCATGCATGGCTCAGATCTTTTCTCTCTTGCAGAGCTTCATCTGCTGAAGAATCTTTTGCAACTGCCGGTCGCTACCTCTCTCCTGTTTCTTTGGTTCCACCCATGGATTACTACTGTGTCCCTGTGACTAAAAAGGGATGTAGTGACCAGCAGGTGGAACCACAGCACCCAGTGGGGAACACTGGCATCATAATTCCAACACATTTTTTTTCAGGGGTCATAAAATATGTCAGGCATCTGTTAGATATATGGTAAATATTCAGTGTGTTATATAATGTTGTGGTTGCTTTTATTGCCTAAAAGGAAATATAAATGTAATCACCTTAATGTTAACTGATTTTAATTTATATCTACTTTTTTGCATTTTTTTTCTCTTTTTGCCCAGAACAAGTGAGTTTGCATCATAGACATTCAACCACAATAGATGTGCTAGCCATTTTCTACTTCAGTGCAAAGTCTATGGACAGCTCTATCAGTACATTGTTCAATAAAAATTGTAGGAGTGTCCCTGAGCATTTTTGAAACTTCTTCAGTTTGTTGGGTGTTTGATATTTTTCTTACACCATTTGCTCAAAAAGATGATGATTGTACAAATCTACAGAAATATATACATTTAGCATACAGACCATATTTCAAACCATCCAAGCTGTCTCACCTAACAACCCCATATTTCACAATCCCAACTTTTCACATTTCTCTAACAGCCTTGACAGTCCAGAATGGGCTAGAGCCGGTTTGAAATACCTACACCAACTGTATGGCTGAGGTATTTTTAACTCCTTTGTCTCCCTCAAGCATGCATGCGTACAAACTACCAGATACATTCTGGCTTAGGTATTTACAAATGTGGCTTGCAGCCATGGCTCAATTAACATTACCCTGCAGAACATTATAAGATGTACATGCCATTTGCACTCCATACTGCACCGCGAGCAAGTTACATATGATGGTACTTGTAGAGACAATCACAGATGGCGCCATGTAAATCCACAGACACAAATATGAAGAAGCCACCAGCACTCAGTACTTAAAGATGCTAAAATACTCTAATTTATTCATAATGCGTCATATAAGTCAAGAATAAGCCATTTTGGGTCCACGCAGGGTCCCTTCCTCAAGGCGACATTGTGATACTATGTTGACATAGAGTGTCACCTCTGTGGCTGCTGTCATCACATCCAAAATGGTGGTGCCCAGCAACAGTCTCAGGGCTTTTGGATATCTACACAATGAAGGCTTTTACATGTAAATAACATGCATTAATGCATGAAATGCACATATAATCTTATGGGAGGATTTTTGTTAAAATGGATGGTCTGGCAAAAGGGTCTTATAAAACAGTTCCTGGCTATTTCAAGTGGCTAAAAAATGTCTCCCTCTGCCAGTGAGTATCTGGTCAACCACTGATACTGAGCTTGTGCAGCGATAAATTTAGTAATAGGTTGACCTTGGATGCAGATATTGCTACTGCTACTTCCCAAACATTTGGGATTTTTTGCTTGGGCACAAAACAACCACAACTTTGCAATCTTATTCCACCAGTTTCTTCTTGCTTAGAAAAATTGCCAGTCGACAATTTTTTTTTACTCTAACTTTAACAAAAGAATACATGGCTGAAGTATCATCCATACTTGGCATAAAATTAAGCAACAAAGAGTGCAGAGTATCTTATTAACCCCTTCATGACTGAGTTGGTTTTCAGTTTCTGTTCATAAATGACTGACACACTTTTTACATAGTTTACTTGTCAGTTTATATCAAGCAGTCACTATGACTGCTTGATAAATTAACTTTAAAAAAAAAAATTTGGCTATTAGGCTGTTTCAAACTTAGGAACAACTAATAATATCCTTAGAGACTGATCCTGACTTTGGTCAGATTCAGATCTCACTAAAAGCTCTTTGATCATGCCTAGACGGTCAGAACTGATACATTTCACTCAAAAGATATCTTTTGAGTGAAATGTATCTAAACATCGGGCTCTCGAGCTGTCAAAACAAATAGCAGAGAGGTGAGTCACTGCTACCTCTCTGCTATTTTCAGCTGTCAAATACAGGATTGCAAATTGCGGCCCTGTATTTGCATGTAACGGCTTAATTCTTTGATTAATGAAAGGAAGAAGCTTTTACAAAAAGCTTAATTATTTCATTAATTAATGTCTCAATACTGAGGCATTCATTAATGACTGGTAACTACTGAGAATCAGCTGTTACCAGCATTACAAAGCCTGATATAACTCGTCACGTACAGTGTACGTGGCCAGTCATATAGGCACAAAGTGCCGGGACGTACTCTGTACGTCTCCCGTCACAAAGGGGTTAATATGTACAGTATGTATAGATTATACATTAAAACAATTCCTTTGGGGGTCCCACAAATTTCACTAATAGTAAATCATTTACTCATAATTTGGCCATTTAACCAGTTTTAGGCAACCTATTACATATTATAAATGTTAATATCCGCGCTTGTGGATGTCCCCCCCTTTTAATTGTAAATAACTGACAGCTGCAGCGAAAGACCTACAAAGACAAAAAGCAATGTGGCCAAGAAAGTGTTAAACCAATACACCGCGCTATCTCCCCTTATTGTGAAACAATTAAATAGAACCCATATAGACAATAAAACAACCCAAAACACCCGTGTGCACGTTTTTGTGTGCTGTGATTTAACGGTTCACTTTTTTTGTTCACAGGGGGAAGTCGTTTTTTCGATGCACTTTCCACGGGCTCTAAAAACAAAACAAAACAAAAAAAAAACTTGAACTGATCACAAGTTATCTTTGTCCTGTGAGGATCGGATGATGTTTTGTACTTTATATAATTTATATGGACTTTAGTTATATATTTATTATTGATTATCTTAATTTATGTACACATTATTCACATTGATTGTTGAGTTATGCTGATTGATTTGCATATCTTCGAATATTAATGAGTCACACATTATTTCACAATGTTCAACATTTTTTGCACCATACTTATTGTAGTGTACGCTATATATACGGTGGTATACACACATGAGTGTTTTGGGTTGTTTTATTGTCTATATGGGTTATATTCAATTGTTTCACAATAAGGGGAGATAGGTTTTGTTAAACCAATACACCGCGCTATCACACATAACCACCTAAAAATATTGAAATATAATCAATAACAGACTTATGTATGAAAAATGCAGCACCATGTACAGTATGAGCTTGTACTGCATTTAATTGCTACAATAAATTGTCTGAGTCGGTGCCGAGCACTTTAATTTATAATTTAGCTGTATAGTAGCACAAATGGATACCAACAACCATATACATACTGCACAGTGCCAGAATTCCCCTGGCGCAATAATACTATATTGTACATAATTCAGATGCAGAAAAGCACTTGCTGCATAATACCTAGGCCAGTACCATGTATAAAATCTGGCATGTTGCTCTAGTTTTTAGACCACCACCAATGCACTCAGCCAGACTTCAGTTTTTCTTTGCTCCTACACTATCTCCACAATAGTGAATGGGTGGTAAGGATTCCGTAGCAAGGTAGTTATGTGACCTCTTTTTTTTTTTGCACCTACACTGCATCAACGATAACCATTGAGTGGTAACTTTCTTCAGAAGCAGGAGGTGTGGCTCGCCATCTTTGCTTGAAAGTGAAATAGAGCATGCTGAAGGGTTAACTGACTATTCTAAGCATGCCAAATAATGATTCAACACCTGGAAAAATTTTAAGGAATTTTTTTACCACTGAACTTAGCACATGGGCACAACCTTCACATTCTTTAGACAATCTGAACAGTGACAATGTTAGTAACTTCTTTGATGACAGGAAACTGACAGACTGCAGGTCTAGGTCAAGGAACAGAAGCTGAAGCAGACTGGCAGCTCTGACTCACTTCTTTGGATGTAGAAGATACTGTACTATACACTTTGGCAGATAAATAATGTTGATGGACAGTGCTGCATTTATTGAACGCTATCATGCTTCTTATACTCTGCTTAATTGTATTGTTCATTCAAATGTATTTTTGTAGCCGGCTTCAGTTTCTGATTTAGCAAACCCTTACTTCCACGCATGGACGTAACTAGAAATCACCGGGCCCCGTAGCGAAATTTTGTATGGGGCCCTGTGATTTCTAGTTATGCCCCTTGCAGAGCTCGCCTGATATACCAAACAGCCCACCTGAGAGTGACCCTGCAGAGCCCACCATAGACTCTGTATGGCGGGCTCTGCAGGGTCTCAGGTGGGCTGCACACCTCTTTCCTGTCAGTGCGGTCCGCCTCTGTGGTTGCCGGACCCCTGCCTCCTCTTCCGTCCCCGGGCCCTGCCTCCTCTTTCATCGTCAGGCCCTGTCTTCTCCTCTATCGCCGTGCCGCGCCTCCTCCACTGCAAACGCCGGGTCCAGTCTCTTCTGCAGAAGCTGCTGGCTGTCACTGACACAGCTCAGCAGTGCATGTGAGGAAGAACGCGCCGCTGCACACATCACTGACAGATTGTCAGTGATCTAACAGTGGCGCGTTCCTCTTGACAGCCAGCACCCTGATATGCCATAGCGACCCAGACGGCCCACATGGCATCAGAGGGGCCGCCTGGGTCGCTTTGGCGATTGTTACGCCACTGCTTCCACGTGAATCACTCTTTTTTGGTCACAGAAAGGACTAAGATGTGCAATTAGCAACTTATTGTGGGAACCTGTTCATCAGATACCTCTGGCAAATATAAATATTATTAAATTGACCCATATCTTTTTTTTTTTTTCATGCAATCCCCTTTAAACATTCTTTTCTTTTTAGATGGGGGCTGATGGTGCAGAAGGTTTTTCTGCTAGTCACCAATGTCGAAAATTAGCCAGCTTTACTTTATCAGGTAATTACTCATTTTATTTTGAAACAACAAGCTGGCCATGTGGCATGCATTCCAACAGATTTACTGATATAAGGTTCTTTAATATGTATATGAAGCCAAAAATATTTGTTTTTACCTTTTGGATAGAATGTGAAAGGATTAGAACGCCTGTTGGGTTTTTACTGTTGTCTGTGTCCCCATTGTGGAGATTCTCCCACTACATTTAGTGACCATTGTCTCTGGTTTAGAAAGTGATGGGAAATTCAAAATATTTCAGTTAACACAGTAACAGAGGGAAGGCCAAATATTTTAATGAGGAAACCTGTTCTGATGACAACTGTCCAAAGTGGGCTATCCCCTTGCTTTTAAGAGAGATTCTCTTTATTCCTGCTTTATACAGGAAGTGAAGCAAAATCTCCCCAACAGGACCCAAACAGAAGAAAAAAACCTGATCATAACCATTTTCTTCTGCCTTTTGGCTTTACATACTGTTTAAAGACTTCAAATAGTGAATTATTGATAGACAAGCTTGAAAACCTGTCTCATATTCTATAATTATTTGTGGTACAGCAAGAAAGTGCTTGGATGCTCAAAGTGTGTAAAACTAAAGTGTATGTTATTAAAAATTAAACTGAGTAGATGCAAATGTAAGGTATTCCCAGGAAATGCTAGATTATATAAATTATATATTTGCTTGGCTCATTTTAATGCCAGTGTGACATACATGGGCCTTTGAAATGTACATCTTTTCTGCTTATGTAGTCAGATTTGCATATCAAAAGAAATTGTGTTTATCCTTATCATTTTAAACAGGATCGTCATCTCCAAAAGGCTTATACATAAATAAAGAAATGATAGATTGCTAGAAAGACTTGCTCTATGTGAATAATGATAGCAATATGCACAAGTGATGATAGCAGTAGCAAGCAAAAAGCAGGCATGACAAGGGGCTGCACAAACTTTGTGCTTTCTGATCGGTGTCAGTCTTAAGGTGCCCACACACCTTGCGATAATCATACGATAATCGCGGGAAATCCCGCGATCGTACGATTATCGCAAGGTTTGTGGAAGGCGTGCAACCGTTTTTACTGTACGGTCGCACGACTTTTATCTTACGAACATGTTCGAAAACCCGCCGAGAATCGTACGATTGTCGGCGGGTGTGTGGCATGTTCGCAAGATAAATGAGCAAGCGCACATTGCCTGTTTAGCATTGCGGTCATCAGAAGCCCGCCCCTCAGCAGGGCGAACTTGCGATTATCGCAAGTACGATCTGCCTGTCCAAGATGGGCAGGTCGTACGTTTTTTTAATTACCTTACAACCATCACAAGACAAAAGTCCTAGGAGCCCCTGAACAAGGCTATTAGGTATACTTTCATCAGGCACCACTCTGGCACATCCCCCAATTCTCTTAACAGGATGCTCTTTACCTTTCTGAGCTTTAGAAGCAGGGGGCATGTCAGAATCTTGATTTTATGAGCTGGGTGTTTATGTAGGTGGCTCGGAGGAACACTTGTCAAAGCAAAAGGTATGCGCAGCCACTTTGTGGTTATTGATTTTTGCTCATTATGCCGACTAGATAAATTTTAGTTTGACAGAGGCAATAAATGATTAGATTATGGTTGATTTGTCATCATACCTCAGCAATGGGTTGATTTAAAGTACAGTTGATACAGTTTTTGCTGTGTCATCTTTGCTGTGTTATCTTTCAGATCTCAGAGCAGTAGGGTTAAAGAAGGGAATGTTTTTTAATCCTGACCCTTATCTGAAGATGTCTATTCGACCTGGGAAAAGAAGCACATTCCCGACATTTGCCCATCATGGCCAGGAAAGGAGATCAACTATTATAGCAAACACTACAAATCCAGTATGGCACAGAGAGGTAACAATAAAAACGTTCATGCTGTCTACATTTTTCATGATATAGGAAGTTTTTATAAATAATAGTCACTCAAGATCTATATACATTTAGGTAATGTTCTTATTATTGAATTTTAACAATGGCTAATACATTTTTACATTACTTTCTAAAGCTTTCATATTGCATTTTAAGCATAATACAGTGCCTGGCCAAAAAAAGATCTCCAGCACCTCCCAAAGATTCTCCATGGGGTTAAGATCTGGACTTATGCTTCCTGAACCACTCTTTCACAATTTAAGCTCAATGAATCCATCCTGGCATTGTCATCTTGGAATATGCCCATGCCATCAGGGAAGAAAAAAATGCATTGATGAAAAAAACCTGGATAATCATTATATTCAGGTAGCCAGCTGACCTAATTTTTTGGGCACTGAATGTAGCTGAACCTAGACCTGACCATCTGAGGCAACCCCTATAGCGCTTACAAATGTGCTTAGCTAAATCCTGGGGGTGACCTTTTTTTGGCCAGGCAGTATATTTTCACAATACAATGACAAAATGCAAGGTAGTATGGGTAAGATGTAATATAACTGGTAGCTTGACATAAGACTTAGCTTATACACAAGGCAATTGTCTATAAGATCAGCAAATAACCAACTGGTTTACAAATCTTGATATTTAAAATTGGATTTTTCTAAACAGTTATTATTGTGCTCTGTTATAAGTCTAGAACTGGGAGTGCATGTTTATTGAAAGGTAATGATATAAGACCTATACAAAAATGTCTATGTCTACAGCCCTATAGTTTTATTCACACATAATAGGCCAATAAAGGTCACTATACACTATATACACACATATACAGACAGGTAGTCCCCAGGTTACAAACAAGATAGGGACTGTAAGTTTGTTCTTAAGTTGAATTGTTAATTTTGTATGTAAGTCGGAACAGGTACATTTAACTCCAGCCACCAAAACATTTTTCAGTTTTGGATAGCATAGGGAAGGGTTACATTTGTTTTGCTGTCTGTTCCCCTTCTTCAGAAGATTTTACCTCACTTTCTGTCCCTATGACAACTGGATTTTGAAAATTTTGGGTTGTCATGGAAACAAGGATTCAGTGAAGACACCTTCTTCCCATGATCTTTCAGGAGTGAATTTCCCTTCCTAGCAGTAGATTTCCTCTCACTTCCTGTTGTTTCAAGGACAGAAAATAAAATTAAATCTTTCTAATGAGGATACAGACAGCAGTAAACACCTCACAGTGGCTCTAACCCCACATCAAACTAACCAAAACTACAAAAGTGTTCTACTTTAAATGCAACTTGGACAGATGTTTGTCTTAACATATTATTTATTTTTACCTGTGCATGTAAATGCTTAAACATTTCAAAATACTGTACAGTACCTTGAACAATATTGGTAGAGGTTGATGGACTTGTTGGAGAAGATGGGACTGGTATTAGAGAGTCAGAGTCTGATTCTGCTTCTGCAGTCAGTTTCTTGAAGTAGGCATCAAGGGATGTTTACACAGAACCTTTTCCCATCATAAATAGCCTTGTAGCATCTCAGGCCTTTGGTAACTGTATGGTAAACTTTTGCGAACCTCTCTGTATCAGGATCTTGCTCCTCTAACTTTTCCATTCCTGCTTCAATGAGACCAAAAGCATCAGCTAACTCTTTTGTAGAAAACTTTTTCCTTTTGGAGTTTCTCGGCCCTGGGTTTTCTTCCCCAAATTCTATCATCCGCTGCTCTAGTTCCATACGATCTTCATTGGTTAGCTCTTTGCCATGGGAGTCGAGTAACTCTATGATATAATTTTCACTGATGTCCCACTGCAGTTGATTACCAATAGCAACCACAGCTTGCCTGGTTTCGGTGATTTAATCATCTGTAAACCCCAGAAATTCCTGTGTAAATTAGGGGCACAATTCTGTTCCAAATTCCTATGTCCTGGTGCACTTTTTTCCTCTTTGGAAATGTAGGTCCTCTCCGGCATTTTTTTCTAAAACAAGCTAGTTTCGGCTACATTAAACATTTGTTCTGGCAAATAACCTTCATCGTCAATAATATCGTCCAATATCTTTGGAAAATCACTTGCAGCACTTACTTCGGCACTCCCTTTTTTACCTTGAACTTTAATATTGTACAAATTTGCTCTTTTTTTAAAGCAATTGAACCAACCCCTACTTGCAACAAATTCTTCATTGCAATCGCCTTCACTTGCTGTATTATGAGCAGCTCTTAAATCATTGAAAGTGCTTCATGCCTTTTCTTGCACTAAAGAAAGACTGATAGGCATATTACACTGATTTTGGTCTTCAATCCAAATTGTCAACATGCTGAACGATGTTACAGGCAGCATAACATTCTCCACGGCTTCTCCAGACCCTTTCACATCTGTCACATGTGCTCAGGGTGAACCTGCTCTCATCTGTGAAAAGCACAGGGCGCCAGTGGTGGACCTGTCAATTCTGGTGTTCAATGGCAAATGCCAATTAACCTCCAAGGTGCCGGACAGTGAGCACAGGGCTCACTAGAGGATGTCGGGGCCTCAGGCCACCCTCATGAAGTCTGTTTCTGATTGTTTGGTCAGAGACATTCACACCAGTGGCCTGCTGGAGGTCATTTTGTAGGGCTCTGGCAGTGCTCATCCTGTTCTTCCTTGCACAAAGGAGCAGATACCGGTCCTGCTGATGGATTAACCACCTCAGGGCCGGCCGTTGTAAAAAAACGGTCGGCCGAGAGGTCTCTAGATCTGAGCGGACGTCTTTAGGCGTCCGTTCAGACACGCCCCGGCGCGCGCGAGCGGGAGATGGCCAGTATTTAAAAACAGGCAGCGATGCTGTTACCATACAAGCGATCCGCCGGCTGTAGAGCCGGTGGATCGCGTGTATGGTGTGCCGATCGGTCTCCCCCACCCCCCCCCCGCCCTTGTCCGCTGATCCCGGTCTCCGCTGTGCCCGGTGCGAGCCCGGGATCAGCATGTCCCCGGGATCAGAGGGAGATCGTTACACGAGAGAAGAATGCGGAAGTGTTGTATAATACATCACTTCCGCATTCTTGTGTTACTCTCCAGCTTCAGAAGCTGGAAAGAAGCTGATGGAGCAGGTCTGTGCTTCATCAGCTTCTTTTGGGGGGTCCTAGGTGACATATTCAACAGCCCTGTCCAGCTCTCCTAGAGTGACTGCCTGTCCTGGAACCTCCTCCATGCTCTTGAGACTGTGCTGTGAGAGGCAGCAAACCTTCTGGAAATGGCACACATTGATGTGTCATCCTGGAGGAGTTGGCATGCCTGTGCAACCTCTAGGTATCGCCTCATGCTACCAGTAGTGACACTGAATAATGGCCAAATGCAAAACTAGTGAAAAACTGTCAGAAAAGATCAGTAGGGAAAAAAATGTCAGTGGCCTCCACCTGTAAAACCATTCCTGTTTTGGAGGTTGTCTCATTGTTGCCCATCTAGTGCACCTGTTGTTAATTTCGTTAACACCAAAGCAGCTGAAACTGATTAACAACCGCTTCTGCTACTTAACCCCTTCATGACTGAGCTAGTTTTCCCTTTCTGTTCATAAATGACTGACACACTTTTTAAATTTTTGCTGTGTGATTCTTCCACAGCAGTAATATACTTTCTTACTAAATGTACCCACACATATTATATATTGTTTTTTAGAGGACAGATGGGGCTATATAATTATATCAAACGTGTACCTAAAGCCTCACTTAGTTTGAATAAAATATAAAAAAAATGAGGAAAAAACGTAAAGAAAACACTTTTTTCACAAGTTTTGATTATTACTATTTTTTAGAATTTTTTAGGGCCTGTTCACATGACGTCCGTTTTGTGCGCTGACCTGATGCGTACGCTCCTGCACTAAAAATGCATCCCAATGTATCCCTATGTGTTTTATGGGCTACAGTTCTCACGTGCGCAGTCCGTTCAGGTTACAACAGAAAAAATACTGCATGTCACATTTTGTCCGGTCAGGAAACACACGCACGAACGCGGCAAAAACGCAAGAAAAACGGAACGCGATGCAGCTAAGCACAAAAAAAAGATAGACAGACAGGTTGAGGTAGCGGTAAAGACATGAACTGCAAACATTTGGAACATGCCCATTACCTTGCCATGGACATACGAGTAAAGGAAAAAAAATGTATCCGGGTGAGCTCGCAAATCCTCATATAAACTCCAGAACTGACCCTTGGAGCCCCGGAGCCTCAAGATTGGGTGTACCCAATAACGACGTCTCCTGCGAGCTCGTTCTCTGCAGATTGCTGTAGCCAGCACCATCAACATGCCTGCAAACATGTGGTACATGTCTGATCACCAGCTTTACATGCACAAAGAGAAGTAGATGTTACGAGAGGGCGGAAGTGACCTCAGAGGAAGAATCTGCATACTGACAGCCCCACGGCTTGAAAAAAAAGTCAGCATCTGGACCGAAAACGCATCAAAAACGCGTCAAAAACACACTGCATGAGGAGCACCACGTCTGCAGGTCCGGACCTGATCAGGACCTGAAAATCATGTGAACAGGCCCTTATAATAATTATAGTATAAAAATATATTTATTTATAATCTTTATTTTCCTAATTTTATTTTACACTGTAAAAAAATAAAAAAGTAAAAAAAAAGCCCCTTTTTCCCTCACTATGACTGCTTGATAAATTAAATTTTTTTAATTTTTGATTATTATTAGGCTTCTCCAAACTTAGGAACAGCTAATAATAACCTTAGAGACTGATCCTGACAGCATGTCAGAATCAGATCTCACTAAAGGTCTTTGATCCTGCTCAGACGATCAGAAGTGATACATTTCCGGCACAGAGATACATTGTAATATCCCTGTGCCTGAAATGTATCATAAACTTCGGGCCAATCGAGCTGTCAAAATGAATAGTAGAGAGGTGACTCACTCTGCTAGCTCTCTGCTATCTTCAGTTGTCAAATACGGGATCGCTATTTAGCGCTTCCGTATTTGTATGTAACGGCTTCTTTCTTTCATTAATAAAGAAAAAAGCTTTTACAAAAGCTTAACTATTTCATTAATAAATGCCTCAACATTGAGGCATTCATTAATGACTGGTAACCGCTGAGACTCTTTTACGTGGCCAGTCATATAGGCACTTTGTGGCGCGACGTACAGTGTACGTCTCCCGTCACGAAGGGGTTAGCTGACCTGATCAATATCCCAGGAGTTTCATTGACTTGATGCTATACTCTGATTAAAAAGTGTTCCTTTGATTTTTTTTGAGCAGTGTATAAGTGTCTGTGCCTTCATGTTCCCATGACAACCACACCCCTAATTACTTGTATGCTTGTCACAGGGACCGCAGTGAGAGAAAGTTTTCCCAGTGGGGTCCCAAACAGAAATATAAAAATTGCTGATATTTAACTAATCCACTCTGTTTAAAATAAAAAGTCACTTTCTCTACCACCACTTGCTCTTATTGCAGCAAGACACCCCACACTTATAATGCAAAGTATTTAATCAGCCAGGATTGACTAATCAGGAAATCAATTAATTCAGTGCAGGCTTAAAGTGTATTTCCACATTTGCAACCAAATTGGGATAACATCTTTGGGGAGCACTGGTGGGCTCCCCAAAATTAACCCTGTCTGTACTGTGCTGTCAAATCTCCATTATCAGTTGAAAACTAGATTTCAGGACTGTGTGTCCTAAGGAAGAGTTAAATATCTAAAAAAAATCTCATCTTATCAAAACAACCACATGTCCCTAGTGTCACTGCTGCTTTATGTGGAAAGAAAGAGGAACCCAAGAGGCACCCCTGCACTCTGCTCTGATCACAGAGTCCTGCTGCCATGGCTAACATGTTTTGGGCTCTAAAGAAGGGGCGTGACCCCAGAAACGTGTTAACGGTGGCAGCAGGGCCCTGTGAGGAGAGCAGAGTGCTGGTGTGTCTCGTGGATTCCTCTTTCTTTGCACGTAAAGCAGCAGTAACATTGAGGACATTTGGATGTTTTGACACTATACTGCTTCTTTTGTGAGTATATCTATGTACTTCTAATTCCAAATAATAGAAGGTTTGTCTGCACTAGGGAAGGTGCCCTCTTGTTCTTTGTTTTCTGTAGTTTCTGGGTTTTCCTGATTGGAGGGGGACTGCCTCCACTGGTTGCGGTGTGTCGAAGCTTTCTGGCTTTATGATGGATTCTCTGGCGCCGGTGGGCTGCTATACTATCATATTGAATCAGCTCGTGCCTTAGCAAAAATTAAACATTATGCAAAAATAGGAGTCAAATCATAAATGATTACTTTGAAATGATTTGCCTATTGCTGCCTTACTGTGAGTAATTGCATCATAACTGTAATGCTGACAGCCCTTCATATTTTTCATTGTACATACTATGTTATGTGTTTATCCACAGATTTTTACCTATTTACCCCTTTTCATGAGGCACATGCAAGTTTGGTTGCAGAGCCTAAGTGCCTTTTATTATCATTTATTATTCCAAGCTTTTGTTAAATGTGTGCCCTAATTTCCATTATGACAAACCACCAGGTATTTGTTATCTTAAGATCACCCTGATTGAAATTGTGACGATAGAGGCACAGGTCCATGGAGCCTCCCAGTGGAGGCAAGCTTGTCTATGTATTGACGGTGTCAAAACCAGAACTACTGTTATGAAAAAATAAGCACAAAAAGAGAGGACATACTCATTAACCTTGGGGAAAAAATTGATTTTTTTTTCCAGCAATCCAGGATTTCAATGCACTTTACATCTATAATATCTTATCTTTCACATCCTTTATGTATTCTAGCAATACTTAAATTCTACTGGTAAAAATTAAAATTAGCTTGATCAAGTCTACACTCTCTCTACCCTGTTAGTACCTTTAACAAACAAATGCAGCTACATATTTTCTCATGGCAGTACACAAGTACATGGTTATGAATCATTTGAAAGCAGTGTATTTTTATTATGTTTAAGACAAAACAAATTATTTATATACACACACACACACACACACACACACATTTATATATATAAAAGAAATTTGATATATACATTTACAGACCGCTACTCTTTCCACATATTCACTGGCTATCCTTGGTTGACCTGAATACAAGCTCATTACACAGAGCCCACTAGCCTTGAACCCTTGAATTTAAATATTGAGTGAATCAGGAGGAGGAATTACATATTCCCCAATCTAAAGACTTTCCTATCACCTCCAAAAAATATAATATTAGATGTCACTGGCAAATATAAACTGTCATAAACATTATATAATCCAATTATTTTTCTCTTTTAGAAATATTGCTTTGTTGCATTGCTAACTGATGTTTTGGAAATTGAAATAAAAGATAAATTTGCCAAAAGTCGTCCTATCATCAAGCGGTTTCTTGGAAAATTAACTATTCCTGTCCAAAGACTCTTGGAGAGACATGCCATTGGGTAATTATATGGTTTTGTGTATTGGTGTTGCATTTGCAGCTATAAGTCTGCTACTGTTTGCAGATCTGAGATATTCAAAACAATCTGAATTTGTTCAGCCCATGTGTCAATGTGATGTGATGTAAAAAAAGAACAAACAAACCCCTACACTAATATTTTGTATTGTAAAGGCCGTGACACACTGCACGCGAAGCCGTGCAGAGCGAAGCAAAGCTATCCGGCACGGAGCTTTGCGTGCAGTGTGTGAGCTGAGTGCAGTCAGATGATTGACAGCACCTTCAGCCAGTCGGCTCGCCCGGAACAACCTGCCAGCTGTCGCATCGCGACGCGCTGGTTTATACGAACGAGCCGATTGGCTGAAGTTGAAATTGTTCATCTCGGCACGCTCAGCTCCGCGAGCTCTAGCAAGCTGAGGTGCCGAGCAGAAAATTACATGACACACTGCTCGCAAAGGCAGCGCGCCCCCGCTCCGCGCTGCTTCGCGTGCAGTGTGTCACAGCCTTAACACTATGCTGTGTGCATATATATATAAATTAGAAGAACTTTGGGAATTTAAAAATCCTACCCTTGCAGCGGGTCTGCCCCCCACAGTGCATGGGTTAAGTGCTCGTTTTGTCTAGGAGGCTGAAATAAAGCAGATATACTCTCCTGATCTTCGGTCCCACTGGACTGGTTACCATAGCATCTTCTCCCCTGGGCTCCATTGACATTAGATGTACACAAGGGACATTTCACAGCCGGAGCAGAGGGGGGAAGAAGTGAGTGCTGACCGCCACAGGACTAAGTGTCAGGTAAGTTTATCTGCTTTATTCGAGCCCCGTAGACAAAAGGAACACTTAACCCTTGCTGTTCAGGGGCAGTTTTTTTTACATTTCTGGAGCTCTTCTTTAAAATTGTGTGCATGTGTAATATTTATTAAATAGAGGCACACCGCCATCTGCAGGCTGCCGCGGCATATTCCGTGACATGCCATCGGCAAGTTGATGACTTGTTTTTATGAATGAAGCCTCCAGCTTGCTTATGATTTCTATGGAATAGGTATCATAGAGATCACCTGATCAGAAACCACTTTGATTGGGTCTCAATCTTTAGTGGAACTGAAGCAGTCCGTGACTGGTAGCAGCCACAAAAAGTGTTGGTATTGTTTTGGATCAATTTTTATACATCTATTTATTTTTAGAGATCATATGCAAACTTTTAGGCTTACAAATTTGTGGCACAGTTTGTCTGATTTAAAATCTCAGACAGAAGCATCTGGTAAGGAAGAAGTCATTGCCGTCACCACGTACATATAGCTTCAGCTAACAAATTCTGAAAACAACACTTTTTTTCATCAAAGATGCAAAGGGAGAGGCTTTAAAATGCTGGGCCAAAGGAGAGTGCAAAATATTAAAGTGAAGTAATTGCCCAATAATAAGCAAAATATATTTTATTGCTTTTGCCCTGGCAATAATATATATCTAGAAATGAAGTATGAAACCGCTGTGCATTCCCTTACAACAACATTCACACCTGCCCTAAGTGTGATGTAATGTACAGTGTAATGTCAGTCAACAGTCCATAAACCAGCTGATCATCAGATCCCAGCTGATTAGAGAGCTTTGGCTCTGACTCAACAGGGGGCATATAGAACTGCTACAGAGAGACCACTGCTTCCACACACAGAACAAGAGTTCTACTCTACAGAATGCAAGCAGGAGACAGACTTTTTAACTCAGGCCATGGCTTTCTAAGGGAATCAAACTGTAAAATGGATATTGCATGTTGTATTATTTTGCTTTAGTATCTAAAATAATGTAGAGTTTCAATGCTTAAAGGAGAACTATGGGGTCAGTGTTTTTCCCCATAGTTCTCCTAAGGGTCACGGGAGGACATAAACTAGCGTCCTCCCATCACCCTAGGCTCAGTATATACTGTGAGCTACAGCTTGTGGTATACTGAGACCGCCACAGCCGGGACAGATCCCAACAATACTGTCGAGATCCACCCAGCAGTGTGAGTGACAGCTACCTAGAGGCAGAGCTAGCTGTGCCCGCCCCTCCCCTGTCCGTTCCTCCAGTCAGCGCTGGAGGATCTGAGCGGGGAGGGGGGAATGCCTGCAGGGAGCCGTGAGTGACAGTCACGGCTCTCTGCAGGGACATGATCGAGGAGTGAGCGAGCGACGGTATGTGTTCGCTCACTTCCCGATCTATTGAGCCTATAAGGTTGATTGATTTTCACTCACCTCATAGTTCTCCTTTAAGGGTAGCCTACTATGCATTGCATATTTAGAAACTTGCTGCTATTGGTGTAACATCCAGCAAAGCCAAATGGCATGGCCAACAGAACTTGGCATAGACTATGTCCTTTGGGTTTGGGAAAATGGAGAATCCCTTCAAGTCTCTGTATGTATTTTTAATCAGCTTTGGAAAGAATATATATGCTGTGTGTGTGTGTGTGTATGTATGTATGTATGTATGTATGTATGTATGTATGTATGTATGTATATATATATATATATAATTGTAGAGGACGGCAAGGCTGTATCTTTGAAGGCCAATATATTTCGCCACTGTTTGGATTGTAGGGTTGTGGCCCCTTTAAGGGCCACCAGAGGGTGAATCTTCCTGCCAAGAAGCCGTTTAAAAGGTCAGCAAATCCAGAGAGGAGTTTGGGAGTTGTGAGGAGAAAGGTGCCAGCAGTGGCTAATGTGTGAGAAACCTGCTGTGTTGCTGAGATTCAGGACTTATATTCCTGAAGGTGGCCATACACTTTACAACCCTCGCAAGACTTTTGTCTTGCGAGGGTTGTAAAGTAATTTAAAAAACGTATGATCTGCCCATCTTGGACAGGCAGATCGTACTTGCGATCATCGCAAGCCCGCCCCCCTGAGGGGCGGGCTTCCGATGACTGCAATGCTGTGCGGGCAGTGTGCGCGTGCGGACACCGGCCCGGTTGGCAGTCATCTCTCGATCATGCTAAAAACCAGCCGAAAATCGTACGATTCTCGGCTGGTTTTCCAACATGCTCGAAATACAAAAGTCGTGCGACCATACAGTAGAAACGGTCGCACACCTTCCATACACTGCACGATTCTCGTACGATCGTGGGATTTCCCGCGATTCTTGTACGATAATAGTGCAGTGTATGGGAACCATGAGAAGGGATTTCAATAAGTTTGGCACTCTATATGACAAGTCGGGGAGACACATTTATGCAACATTATTTGTGCTTACATTTGTGTTTATCATTTTGACCGCCCTGAAGAGGAAAATAAAAACGTTGGTTTTGTGGAAAAACCTTTGTGCAAGTGTTCTGTAAGCTCCCAACTTTACAATATATATTATATAATCATCATATTGTGATGTTCATGTTAGGAAAAAAAAAAGTAGTGGCTGTTTGATGTAGGAAAAGTACGTACCTTGTTGGTCACAGCAACCAATGAGCTTTCAACTGTCATTTCTGACAGGCCTAATGTAAGGATTCAGATTAGCTGCAATGAGCAACACAAAATGTTTCTTCCTGCACACTTTTCATGCATCAGCATCTGGTTTTGAATGTAGATTGTAATTTTATTTGGATGCCATGGAAGCATTGCGGGCTTTTTACCTATGCAGGCTTATTACATATTAATATGTCTGCTTAGTAGGGCTGCACAGAGATTGTTATACAGTATACTATATCTCATTTCTTCTAATTTAATATTCTAAATTGTTGAGCAGGCATGCTGAGCACACTCCCTGATATGTACAGCCAGTATATGAAATACAGTTAAGATGGAAATAATAAGCATCCAGCATCTACAAATGCAAAAGTCACATTGAAAATAACTACTATTAAACATTTAATTAACTCAGTGTGTTTTGATCTAAAGCTGAACTCCAGGCAGAAATAAAAGACAAATGAACGCAGTTCTCTAATTATTAATATGTTATTAACTTTATTTTTGCAGTGTAAGTATCTGGGTTGTGTTGGAAATACAACAGCATATATCAATGTACTGTAATATGTAGTACACGAACTCATTAAGCCATTAAGGCCGGGTTCACACCTGGGCGTTTTTACAGCGCTGATCGACGCACTGTAAAACGCCCAGCAAATTAAATCCCATTATTTCCTATGGGCATGGTCCTCACTTGGGCGTATTTCAGCGTGTCGGAACGTGCTGGAAAACGGCCTACGCCCAAAGAAGTACAGGAGCTTCTTTGGGGCGTATTTCCACACGTATCCATTAGGATACAACCGGATAGCCCTTGTAAACGCGAGTTTGACGCGTTTTGTGGGCTGCAAATCGCGGTTAAAGTTCAGTGTCCCAGTCCCCGGACCTTACTGTTTTCCTCAACTGGATCTCTTCGGGAATACACTGGGCCCTTTGAGCAGCTTTAAGCAGCCTTTGATTTCACACCCACACACCTTGGGTGCCTGGCTCTCTGAGCCTCTCTAGGCCTTCCAGCCTCCAACACATACACAGCCTCCTGGCTTCTGGGTGGAGTCCGCCTGACTCCCGGACACAACCTGTCCCTCTTCCCAGCAGGAGCCCTGAACACACTCCGGCACCCTCCTCAAGATTTCATCCCACCCAGAGCTCTAAGAAATCTCCTGGCTCCAGGATCCCAACTATGATCCAGAAAACCTTGAAAGGACTGAGAAGCCAGCTCTTTCCTGGTACGAGCAATTGCTTCCTGGACCCACTAAGCCCCTCTGGCTGAGAATCCTGGGTGACTTTTAGGCCACCTAACACCGTGGTATAGCCACGCAATGCCACAATATATATATAGATCTATATATATACACATATATATAGATCTATATACCGTATTTTTCGCTCCATAAGACGCACTTTTTCCCCCCCAAAAAATTATTCTAAGCAAGTAAAACGTAATGCAGCATTCCCCAAGATCTCAGTGCTTCAATCTAAAAACATTACCAACAGGTTTGACATGGTATATGCCTCTTTCAGTCCCTGTACAGCACACCTCAAACTGGAGAAGGGAAAAGCAGCAAAGGGGCCAATAAGTGTGCTACAGTCCAAGGAGCATGCTAAGAGGAGGAGAGAGGAGATAATCTTATCAATGTGCTGCTTTTCCTTTCACTGACCGGTCGTGTACCTGACCGGAGTTGTAATTGTTACTGAACTGCAGCAGAGAAAGATCAGGTCTCCTGTCCTATCAAACTGGCCTGTGAGGCTTGGCAGATCTATACACTTGGTGGTCAGAAATACAAATATTGTGTCAGGTGAAACAGCATTGTATATATATTTCATCTGTGTATTTAGCTGTTTTCCCGGAGTTCACCTTTAAAATACATGCTCAATTACACTGTAATCTGTTTCAAACATAGTAGGGTCTGTATGCAATTCTAACATTCAGTCTTCTTTCAGGGATCAAATACTCAGCTATAATCTTGGTAGAAGACTCCCAACCGATCATGTCAGTGGATATTTACAGTTCAAAGTTGAAATTATGTCATCAGTTCATGATGGTAAGAAAACATCAGGTGACAAAAACACAATTGTAACTTCTAATTTGATACATAGAGGGCATTAGCATAATGTACTATGTGATTCATTTTTCTAAACAGTTATGAAAGTGTTACATTCAGCATAGCATGGGATCTAGCATATTATATTATTGATTTTTGTGATGTGTTTGTAAAAGACAGTTGACATAAATTCCACTCAGCCCTGAGGGGATATGATACCATTCAGTGTTTGCTTTTTAGGAGAATCACATTTCTTGAGAAAAAATGTGGATTAATGAGAAATATTGAGTAAAATAAAAACTTGCAATAGTTACATTATTATTATAATTACTGTATTGTTCAATATATAGGAATGTGAAGTTAAAGTTTTGATGAGAATATTTTTAAATAAACCAATTAACATAGTTAATACTAATGCTGCTTAGTGAATTCACACCTATAAGGCAAGAAACCATGGGCATGATTTAGAAGTTCAAGCTACTAAAATCCCTAGTGATTAAAATGAGTCTGTCACCAGGAAACTCAAACTGAAAGAGAAGCACCCTACATAAGAAGACTACTTGCCTTTTCAGCAAGTGTCAATTTCCAGCTTCGGTCTTTTGCAGAGCTACGGGTGCTGCTGGGATTTGGCACTTCCAGGATTGTTGGATGGCTGGTCCCCTGCTATGCAACGTGGTTCCTCCATCCAAACACTGTGCCACTACTTTTTCCTGTAGGGGCCAGTGGGAGGAACCAACAGCTGGAGGGGCAAGCTATCCTTAAGACATGGAATTTTTACATAGCAGTGATGGTCGTAAGAGCAAGAGAGTGAAGATTGAAGTCACTCCACCCCCCCCCCCCCCATTCTTTTGCAAGGTTATGCTATTTCAGTTTTTACGTTTGGGTTTCCTAGTGACAGGGTCACTTTAATTTAGGTGTAAAACAAATGACTCTCTATGGTGGGAGCTAGAGACGTAGTATGTAACACTTATTCACATATATTTGGGGTATTGTGCCATCATGTGTGATTAAACATTACGAGTTGCTACTATGTAGTTCACACCCTGAGAGCCGTTTGTTACATCTGTGTAGCAATCAATAGCTACTCTTACCAATTAATCATTAGCGATTTTAGTAGCCAGTTTGAGCTGCTAAAAATGCCTGTGTGTTCATATGCAACAGAAGATGTTGATGTTTTTATCATGTTTATTTCAAATGTTGATTCAATTTCTTTATTGGCCATTAAGGGACATAGGAATTCTGTAATAGTTATATAACCACCTACAGGAGGTTTGGTCACTGACATACAGAAAAAAAATCATAGAAGGTCATTACACATATAACCACATGTCTAATCGTCATGCCTCAGTCATTTGCTAGTGTTCTAGGAGGGTGCATGGTTATTTCCGCAACTCTGCTGAAAAATAGTCTAACTATAGTTTTTACTAGCTTTTTATTTTTAATGACTTCAGTCAAGATCCTTGATACACCTCTGTACCGCTGCTTGAACTGATCTCTACATAGCATCCATCAGGATTAGCGTATCCTAACCATTAGCTTTGGAGGCTGTACTCAGACCGTGCTGGACTGGAAGATTGGTGGCTAGCCTGAATGGGACCTTAGGGCACTGTTTTCTGCATTGTGGCAATGTTCAGACCGGAGTTTATTGGTTAGGTTAGCCTTGGGACATTTTCCAGGTCCAGAACCTTCATACAGCCTCACGTGTGACCCTGTCTCTACTAGCCTAGAATGTGACCTTTGGGCAATGGACTCTGATTTGTGGTGCTTCCAAGACATTCATGTACTGTTTTAGTTAGCTGCAGAGTGCTTTCGGAGTCCAGAGCCATGGCACAGTCTCTGGTGTGATTCTGTCTCTGAAGGCTAACTTAGTGAGTAAGGTCGGCCGGGCTACCTCACAGTTGGTACTATTGGGCACCATTTTTAAATCTCCTGCCTCACACGGTAAGGGTTAAAGCTGAGGGATTGAACACTAATGTCATCTGTTAAACAGAGTGCTACATGCTCATGTTCCAAACTCTCGTTTCTGCTATTCAGCCTAGAGGAAGCACCATCCCACTGCTGCTCCTGCTCCTGAAGCATCAAGTAGATCTTCAGTTCTGTTATCCTGCCTGCCTACAGTGACTTGGTCATTTCTGGCCCCCTAAAATGCTCATCAGCACCAGGTCCCCAGATTTGTGAGTACTTGAGGCCTTGCCTCACGTTGGGCCTACTTGCTGACTAAAGAACATATCTTCTCAAAGACACACAGAGGACAGTCCCACTGCTATGGGTGACCTCAGCTCATACTCCACTACCTGGGACGCTTTTTCTTATAGGGTCATCATCTGTAGAGTCTATTTCAACTCCATCGGGCGGCACTGAGGATTCATGTTTTAATGCCATTCCTGGCAGGGTCTGTCTCTGTCCCTCCCTGGCAAAGTTTTTGACCCTCTTGTGACCACAAGTCATACCAGGTCTGTTGTCATTTCTGATTCAGATTTTGAATTCCAACAGTTGGGAAAGGCTGTTTTGGGTCACTGCAGTCTCCTGCAGTTGACTTGGATATACATATTTACAGAGGATTGTTTCAAACCTTATTGATGAAGTGTGTATCCCCTGCATTTGGTGGATCAGCCTGTTTTTATAAACCTTGGGTCTTTTAGGGGCCCTATGACTGCAGATACTTTTCTGCTACAGCTGCTTTTAGAAGACTTTCTCTATGAAGGGTCCTGGACCCTACCTGAGACTGGCCAGAGCATTTTCCCTTTGAGAAGGGATTCATTAATAGGTGGTCCATGCCCAATGTGGATGCTCCAGTGATCCACATTAACAGAGATGGTCAAAGGTATACTTACCTTTTACCTTTGGGGACTTCACTAATATGAAGTTGAATTCCCTCCTTAGATCCCAGTTTGAGTTAACTCTCAGTCAAATGATGTCAGAGTGGATGAAACTCCTTAGAGAGAATCCATCCACCACTGGGGTAGGTCCCCACATTATGGAACAGTTAGAGCAGATGTCTGGAGCCTTGAGATTTAGGTTTTTATGGTTTATTAGAAACCTCTGGACTCACATAGTACTTATATCTGTATAAATGTGTAAGGCACTCTGGCTATGCATGTGGGATGCTGATGAGACGTTCAAGGAACAACTGATTCCCCTTCCCTTCAAGCAGTAATTCGGGTGGCCACAGTATGCTCTCCAGGAGATCTGTAAAACCTTCAGACCATAGGTCCAGAAGGCTTTGACATAAGGGTGCGCCTCAACTTTTACAAGTGGGGGGCTGTTCACACAACTGGATGGGTTCCTGGTAATCGGCCCTCTTGGATTTGAATGCTCATGATACCCCTTTTAGCTCTCAGACAAATTACTTAGAAACAGCATTTATTTACCCAGCATGTTTCCTGTGCTACATTATTACATGCAGCTGTGTAATAATCTGTTTGAATAGGAAGATGGAGCTCAGCTGCGGAGACACGTTAACCGTCACGTGCTCTAGCGCAGGAGTTCGTGATGGCAAGGTTTAATATTGCCAAGCAAGCTCAGTGCATCATCGGTCTATCTTCCAACCTAACTAAGCTTACTACTCCTACAACAGTTTCTATTAAGGTATGTAGCAGAATAGGGGGTGGTCTCTAGGCCAATGGTGGGAGTGAATGGCTTCACTAATGTTACTTCACACTGGAATGCACTTCTGTGGCAGTTATGTTCAATTCACACAACCCCAGTACTTGGTTCTCCCAGTCTGGTGTATCCCCAGAACCTGTTGTTTGTATAACTTTATATGTTCACTTCACATATGTTAAACACACGGTATCACAGTTCATCAAAGTAGGTATGAATTAAGTGTTCCACAATATCAGTGTAATTTTAGTAGTTTAGACAATATCTTTAGTCGCCAGCAGAGGGCAGGCTTCCCTTATCTTCAATGCCACAGTATAAATCAGTCCAAGGCAGTTATAGTAGGCAATTGAATTCCCTGTGGGTAGCAACCCAGAGGGGAATACTTGCGGTTTTGGAGTCTGGAGGGTTGAGTGGGAATAATGCTGGTAACGCTAGCGCAGAGATCCCGAGGTAGCCTGTCAGCTGGGGTTCGGCTGTCGAGTGGTTGAAGCTGTGGCAGGTTGCTGCAGTGAGACCGGCACTCGTCTGGCGTCCGCATAGGGTTGCTGGAACCCCAGACAGGTGGGAGATTGAGGCTTATGACGAGGCCGGAGGCGGTCTCGTATGACGTCGTCGGCCCGGGGGCGGAGCTTCCACTCGGTTCCGTGAGTCGGAACGGCGGCGTCCCCGGGATCCATTACAAGCTGTCCCTTACCTAGTTCTCCCTGGGTTGCCTGCACTCTGGGACCCCCTGTTCCTCTCTCAATAGAAACTTGCTCTTGGGCATTGTTCCCTACAAGGGTATTCCCTCTCCTCCCGGAAAATTCTGTATTCTCTGATAATGCTGATCCTTAGTAAGCCCTCTTCCCAGGGGGACCTTTAAAGAGTCAGTTGGGACCAGTTTCCACTGCTTCCTTCCCAGCTTTGACTTTCAAGTGCACTTATAGTTGTTGACAGCACTAAACTTTATGTCTGCTCTACCTTTTGTGGGATGCTTCGGCGACCCACCTATTAAAAGTTAGTTTTCTGGACTCCGATAGCCAGAATTCTAATTAGGGGCCCTACTACTGCAAGTTGTAACCTTTTGGAGCCTTAGAATGCCCAATGATGGTAACTCCTGGTCACCAGAAGCATTCTGCACCCCCTTGGCTTTAGTGGAGTTTTCCATAAGGGTCACAGTACTTTCCCCTCCTTCACGTTTATTTGCACGGGTCACCTCTCCATCTCTTGTGGACCTTCGTTTTTTTTAAATAAATGCCGTATTCCTTTATTCTTGGTATTTGAGAGTCTGAACTTGAGGCAAGATACACAAGCAGTCATTATGGATCCAGCTGTGCCTAATATCAACCTTCAGTCTCTTAGATTCTGTGGGGTAATTCTTTCCCCCCTTCATGGGGGGACTACTGTCCTCATGTCTGGAAATCAAGTTGTGCCTGCTTTTTCCTGGGGTCCCACTGTGAGTGGGTTCCATGACCTGGACTTTGTTGGACATCACTTTGGTGCTGTAAGACCTTTACCTAAGGCTGGGGAATTCTTGCTGTGACAGGATGAGTGATATGGTCCCCTGCACTGGGTAATGTTGAGGATGTTATTCTCAACTGCATGGTTCCCTTTAGAAGCACTGTTTTTGCCTTCTGGTTCTCTCCATCCTGTAGTAAACATTCTGGGGACAAAGCTTTGTGAACTTGGGTGTACTTTATCTCCAACATGGCAGGAAGAAACTATGCTGGTTTCCTTAGATTCTCAGCCGACTGCTCATGCTGCAGTCCTGCAGCAGATATTCCCTGTAACAGATGGCACACATCGGGGGTACTCAAGAGTTCAGATTAAGTCAGGGCCTCCAAACCCTGGGATGGGTTCATCGCTCTTGGGCCTTTTCTAAACCTTAGACCGGCTGGTCTTACCCTGTGGATTTGTTGACCAATTTTCCCTTAAGGATTTGTTTTGAGGCTGGTAAACATTACAGTTTTCCCTTTGTTGACCATTCTTGTTGGTCTATTCTCCTTATACTGGTAGTTACATTATTCCCCGTGTAGATAGTTGCTTAAGCTCACAGCTTTTTCAGGTGCAAAAGTGTACTTCAAAGTAGTTATTCCTTTTTAGTGGTAATTTTTGTCTTGTTACGAACATCAGGTTGATCCTCAGTGACCGCCCCTGGGTCATTAGCAGTTACCCTGTCCTGTAAGGAATTTTGGTTCAGATTGGAGCATGGGTCCTTCTGGTTGTTGTAGACAGCTCCTGGTTCCATCTTCTGTCAGTGGATGTTGCTCACCCCTCAGTTGGACTGCTTTTGGACATCTTGACGGTTTTAAAATTCCTTTATCCTGTGTCTCTCAATGTGTAATAAAGAAATAAGATTTTTTTTTTCCCACTTACTGTAAAATCTTTTTAAGTCCATTCAGGGACACAGGTCCTGTCCCTCTGTGTTTATTGGCCTTATATACTGCTTGTTCACAATACTGAGGCATGGCGGTTAGAGGAGGGGTTAAGTGGGGGCTGGCCTTCAATGTTTTTTTTGTTTGCCTGTAGGTGGCAGTTTTTCTTGATGCTGTATTTAGCACACTGGCTTTGTGGGGTGTGTAGAATAGGAGTAGCTCTCATACCAGCCTAACATGTTGTTTAAAACCTATAATTCATAAACATTTTTGCAATATATTCTTTGTAAAAAAAACACAGGGCATTTTTGTTTTTTTGGGGAGTTTACTAGAGGGAGGAATGGGGTTTGAGTACATGCAACTTTATAGAATGATACATTTAACCTTAATTTATATACCTTTTTTTATTAATAGTTATAACATGTGTCCTTATTCATATACAGATGCTTCTCCAGAGGCTGTGGGCACGCTGCTTGCAGAAAGTAACATAAACGGAGACCTTGGTACACCTTCTGATGATGAAGAGATGGCTGCTGGTCAAGATGTGCATTCCACGTGTTCCAATGGACCAGTTTTTGCAGAAACTTTGTTAGATGGAGTAAGATGTGGCACTGTTGAGACAGACTGTGAAGAGGCAACTAGTGCTACTTCAAGGATATCACCCATCCGTAATCGCCAGGACTCACTTAACGATTACCTTGATTCCCTTGAACACAGCAACAATGCCAAAAGCAATGCTGCTACATCTGTTTCCTGCGATCGATCACTTGGTGCATCACCAAAGCTAAGGAGCAGTTTTCCTACTGACACAAGACTTAATGCCATGCTTCACATTGATTCAGATGAAGAAGATCATGAATTTCGTCAGGACTTGATATGTAATTCCCCTCTGCTGGATGAAGGTGGCCTTGTTTTACATTGTGGTACTATTAGAAAAAAAGTTAATTATTTGGGTTCAGAAGCAGATCAAGTGGAATGTGGCAACTGTGATAATGCACAACTGAATTCACAAACCTCTGATATCAGTGAAAGTAACACACATGCCATTAGTTTAGACCTCCCAACTGGGGGAACAGTTGATCAGGAGGAAGAAATTACTGTGACAGTTAAGAATGTTGATGTGGAGGGTGATGCTGCATTATGTGTTGCCATGGAAACACTGGCATCCTCAGCTGTAACTGCTGAGAGACAGGAGGGGATCCCAAACAGGGAAAGTAATGTGGATACAAACTCTACTGAAACATTGATGGGTACATCTTCTCAGGTATTGTCTGAAATGGGTGCAAGCAGCTCCATACTTACACAGACTTCTTGTGAAGGCAGTAGAGTTGCAGAGGAAGGGGCAAGTAAACACAATAATGGTACATTTTTGAATTGTAATGCTACTTCTAGCATTTTTACATACAATGCCTGTTCATCTTTAGAAAGTACAGAAAATGATGTTTTTTCCCCAGGATATGGGGCCTGTGAACATGAATCTGAGAGTTCTGGTGGTTTAGAAGTACAGGCATCTCTATGCAATCCTTGTTCTCTTCCAATTGTAAACATCAGCCGAAATAAAGATGGAGATCAAGGTGGAACAGAATTACAGAGTGAAGTAGAAGGAACAGAGGAAATTTGGCAGAGAAGGAACATGCAAACAGTTCCAACCAGTGGTCAGTCGACTCAGGATGAAGATACTGGTAGTGCACAGGCAGTATGCAGAAGTATGATACAGTCAAGTGTACAATGTGAAGGTGCCTCAGCAGGTACTTGGTTTTACCACATGTTTTTCTATCTAGCGTCACATAATAAGCCACATGTAGTTCATAATAATCTACAGGCTTTTTTTAATAAAGCAGTAGAAAGAATAATTAGTGTCCAAAGCGTATTAACCCATAGCACCAATTACATTTCTGTACTGGAGTCATAATAGTGAGCTGTAGGTGTCCAAAAAGCTGGCCAGCTGGCTTCTGTTTAGTGCTGACAAGCCGAAACCAGCTTATGATGCCACTCTAAGTATCTCTTGCTAGAGCTTGTCTAAGCATTGTCAGGTTATGGCAACACATTTGGGAAGGGTTTCCACAAGATTTTGGAGTGTTCAGCTAAAAAGTGCATTTGTTCATGGCAAAAAGGTTTATTAGGGTTGAGGTCAGGCCTCTATGTAGGGCACTTGAGTTCCTCCACACCAAACTCATCAAACCATGGCTTCCTGGCTTGGTGAACAGGGACACACAGTTATGTTAACTTGGAACAGAAAAGGACCTTCTTCAAACTGTCTTTGTATGTTGTAGCATTAACAGTATCCTTCACGGAAAATACCCAAACTCAGTAATCTGGAGGGGTACCCACATACCTTTGACCATATAGTTTATATTATTATGGTCTATTATACTTTCCAAATTACTGTTATTGTTTGTACTGCTTTATTAAATACGTTAGAAAATGTATATTTTAGAGTTTGTGTGGCCAGCATTAAAATGCATATAAAGTCAAAACTTTGTTTCGTTTTGGATAGAGTAGGGAATGATTAGACCTTCAGTCCATTTTATTACTATCTATTTGGCAGACACTTTATTTGTTCTGGTGACTGTAGTCATTGAGACAGAAAGTGAGGGAAAATACAAACTTTAAGGGGCTGGTTTATTAAGGGTTAGCCCAGGATATAGCTGGACACATTACTGCTAAGACCGGAAGTGAATGGGTGACTTTCGAGTGGGACACAGGCAAAAAATATAACCTGAGAGTGGTTTTAATATTTCCCTACTTTTTCCCAAAAATAAAGTTATGCCTATACATACACTTTGAACTTATCTTGCCTTTAATACCATGGTTTAAAAAGCAATGAAGTGCAGTGAATAAATGCAGCCAGTCAAGTTATAGAAGTTTACTGCACTTAAATGTGTACCTGAGTGCATGTTGTGGATTACTATGCATCATTCATCTCTGCTTTGTATACAACAAACTGAAGTGTAATGTATATGGCATGTACAACCTACAAATGTCTCTGTGAGGAATAGTTTAGTTATGTAATTGAGAACTGTGTAATAACTTGGTTTGCAAAGGCATTTGGTGCACACAAAGTGGATTTATATCCTTATTGGCTATTGAGGAATATATTTAAATTAAAGTTTTTGTACCTAGATTTAAGCTTTAAAAGAGAACTATGGGGTATGTGCTTTTCCCCATAGTTCTCTTAAGGGAACTATGGTTCTCCCCATAGTTCTCTTAACCTCCCTGGCGGTATGATTATTTAGCTTTTCGTTATTTTTTCGGCGCAATTTTTTTTCGGATTTTTTTCGTTATTTTATTTTGTCGTTTTTTTCGAATTTCCCGCCAGTTCCGCCCCCATGCGATGCGTCGGCTCGCAAGGGACGGAACCCGGAAGACAGATGCCGGCACCGGCCGGAGGACACCGCACGGCTCGAGGCACAAGGTAAGTAAATAATGTGGGATATTCCCGAGTGTAGTTCAGGGTATGGAAAAGTAACCCCGACCTACACTCGGGAATACCGCCAAGGAGGTTAAGACATATACTAGCATCCTCCCATGATCCAAAGCTCAGTGTGTCGCGAGCTATAGCTGCCGGGACGGATCCCGACAAAGCTGTCGAGATCCACCCTGCTGTGTGAGTGATAGCTGCCTCTGCCTATCTAGAGGCAGAGCCAGCTGTACCCACCCCTCCCCCGTCCATTCCTCCAGTCAGCTACCAACTAATAAATATATATTTTATATATCTTTTTGTCTGGAGTTGTCATCTTTGGTGCTTTCAAGACCCCACTTTTCTTTCTTAAAAATAATTTTTTGCATGCTTTGATAACTTCATGACATCAAATTTAAAACAGTAGTAGGATCAGATATCAGATTTTGTTTAATTAACATGATAAAAGGTAAGATTAAGCGATCTCTTAATAGTTTGTTGCATGTCATCTGCTCAGTAAAATGTATACATTAAAATCATTTTAGACAATAGCTGAATGGCAACTGAAGTCCTACAAGTATTTGAAAAGCTGATATGTGCCAAATAACACTAAAATAGCATTGTGCAGATCATATTCTTTGACAAATGAGTTTTTAAATCTCATTAGACACCTGTTAAACTTGTCTGTATTATTCCTTAGGTTCTCAGTTAGATGGCAATCAAGCATTACGATCACTTCCTTCAGTCCGGCCAGATGTTGGCAGATACCAGAGGATAGATGAAGCTTTACCTCCCAGTAAGACATGATATCATTCAGAACTTTTTATATCTGGAAGCACTCCCTGCGTTAATGGATATAGTCCTTCCAATGTGAACATGGCATCATTTATTGACTCCCAAGCACACTATGCATTAGATATTTCAAAGAGTGCTGAGGAGCAGTGGTCATGATAAGAATGTGTGGTATGACTAATGAAGAGCAATTTTGAGTTGTGTACAGACCTTTGTCTTAACTGTCCAGATAGTTATCTTAAGTTTAAAATAAAAAATGTGGTAGTAGCAAAGAAAACCTGCATTTTCACCTGTTTTTCCAGCATTGCATTATTTCCAATACCATCTGATTAAACTTGGATACATATAAGCAACTTTCAAGGATAAGTGTCCCTGAGCTTTTTTTTTTAACGTTTTTGTACTAATTATTATCCTACTGCTCTCTGCAAATGTAAACACATACACACTCAATCTGTTTATGTTAAACACATGCATATTAGTGTAGTATCACTTAGTCTACAGGATATAATATTGCATTTTGGGGTTGTTATTATGATCACCCTTAACTATGTTGTTGCAGTTTGGACAGTTTAAAATGCAAAATATATACCTTAGTTGCAAAGCATGTCCGTTTAATATTTTTTCTAGACTTTGTATGGTTTACTAAAACACTGTTGAGTTCTTTCTTCTTACTCATTAGGGATGCACCAATACCGGTTTTTCTGTATCAAGTACCAATATTTTTTTCAGTACTCACCGATACTGAATACCGATACCATAAGCCCCATTAAGGAAGCCAGGCGACATGTAATGACTTGCCACCTGGCTTCCTGATTAGCCTGGAAGCCAGGTAGCGTGTAAAGACTCGCCAGCCTGCTTCATGATTAACAAAGAAGCCATCTCCATGCTTCCTCGTCACCAGGTTGCAGTTCTGGCCTCACTATGTTAGGTTAAACAAGCAGTGGGGAAGCCCGCTGCTGTGCAACCTAGCATAGCTGTAAAAAGGTGGATGAAGCAGCGCCAGTAATTAACAGGCAGCGCTCGTCAATGACAGGTTACACGACGGGGAGGCTTTCCTTGCTGTGTAACCTGTTACAAGCCACTCTGAATGGAGAAAAAGATGTCAGCTTCAGACTTGAGTATATCTCTCTTACTTTAGCTCCCTAGGCAAAATGATCACTTAACCCTTGCAGTGGGGTTAAGATTTTATTTGCCTGGAGTTCTTTATATGTGAAAGCGCACTACTCATTTAAATTTTGAACAGGCTGAATAATATGTAATCTTAGTGCTTTTCTCTCTGTGAATCTCTGCATAGACCGTGTCTTTCTGGAGCCCCCTTTTTGCTCCCTCCTTAAAATGTTAGCGTATTGTTTTCATGATAAAGCAGAGTTTGATGTGGGTCCAATAATTGGGTGATGTGGACAGCTGTGTAATCAGTGATTAAAAGAAAATCATGTTTAATAGATCAAATAAATTGGGATTAGGGGATAATATCTGCAGCTAGTAGTAGGAGTTCCTTAACATACCATAGGCTGCCAATAAATGTCTTTATTTTACTGGCACACATTTTCTATAGGTTTCAAGAAGGAGAGGTGTTCTTAACCCTAATTAATCAACTCTTGAGCACACTTTGGGATAAAAAAAGGCAAGTGGTCAATGTTGTGTAACAACTGCTATTGTGACAGAACATCTTACTCTTAACAACCTTCTTTAAAGCAAACATGGCTATTAAAAGGGCACTAGAAATTGACAAGCTCACATATTTACTGTATCTCCCATTTTACTGGCTTGCCCTCCAGAATGACCCTGTAGGCTTTCAAAACTGCCTACTGTATGCCAATACCAAATTCCTGAAAGTCGGAGCCCCCAATTTCACCTCTCAGTGCAATCTGGGACCTCTACAAACTGGTGTAGAGGCCAGCCTCAATTGTGTACAGCCACACAACTCACAATCCATCTTCTTTAATTTTGACACATTATTATAGAAATGTTTGGTGGGAACTTGGTTGTTTTTAGGTTTGTTTGCTAGCTAGTTGTGCCATATTTGCTCCTTATTACAAACAGGAAAAGGTGCTGCAAAATAATAAACTGGTTACAGTAAACAATGCACTTACATTGGATAAAGCCCATTACCTTTCTGTTATGATATGAGAAGCCAGAAATAAAGAGACTAGAGGTTGATACTCTATTATTTGATGCTTCAATCAGAACAGATGAACATGGTTGGAGGATTACTGGCTATTTATAATATGGATAAAGGTTGCGTCTTGATTTAACTTGAAAAGTAAGCTTTAATTGGCAAACAGTTTTTTTTCATGTAAAATAAGCACAACTCGTACTGGTAAATAATACTGCATTCCAGTGCATAATCAACACCATGCTAGCTAGGGCTTTGGGTGTCAACATTACCCTGCACACATTAACTAATATTTACATTTGTAATTTAAGATTAATAATTAGTACTGTCTTGTCAATTCCAAAATGTTTATCTGTCACATCTATAATCCTTTTAGTTAACTCCTCTATTTTATATTATACCAAAAAGTGAAATCATCTGCTGTGTTATATTTTTTGTACTTACAGATTGGGAGGCAAGAATTGACAGTCATGGCAGAATATTTTATGTTGATCATGTAAATCGTACAACAACGTGGCAGCGTCCTACAGCTCCTCCAGCTCCACAAATTTTGCAGAGGTCAAATTCTATCCAGCAGATGGAGCAGCTTAATAGACGGTGAGAATGTCTGATCTGCGTGCGCAACCGGAAAATGCCCGATTTTTAAAAACAGGCAGCGATGACTGTTAAAAACTCTGACAGGGGATCAGAGAGAGATCGGTACACGGACTCCCTCCGGTCCCCTCTCCGCTGTCTATATTACATCACTTCCGCATTCTTTTGTCACTCTCCAGCTTCAGATGCTGGAGAGAAGCTGATGAAGCATATCTCTGCTTCAACCCTTAATATAGTAAAAAATAAAACCCCCAGTGTTGAATAAAAACCACCAAAAGAAAGCTCTACCATGCTGCTGTTTTGCCTTTTTACAAATAAAGTACTGCTAGAAAGCTCTTTGGTGTCTCTTTACCCGACGTGACCCCGTCTTTTATATTTTACCAAAAAATTTGGTAATAATAAATGTTTTAGAATTTAATATAGGGGGAACTGTTTTTTTTAATTTTTTTACATCTGTAGTTTTTCCTTAATATATTTAAAAAAACCCCAGTGGTGATTAAATTCCACAAAAATAAAGCTCTATGTGTCCCCAAAAAAATGGTATAAAATGTATTTCAGTACAGCGTTGCATGACGGAATAAATGTCAGTCAAAGTACCGCAGCGCTGAATACTGAAAAATGGCCTGGCCAGGAAGGGGGTCTAAACACTTGGTCTTGAAGTTGTTAAAGAAAAAAATAGTTTTTTAAAAGAAATAAATTAATTTAAAAAAAATTATGCACGCCGACCCGACCGCACATGACGAATTCCTGCCGCATAATGTCAAATCTGACAGATGCCGGCAAAATATAAACAATTGGGCGGAGGTATGGTGACATCACTGCTAGCTCTGCCCAACTTTTTCCTATTGGCCGGCACCTGCCAGAGTCTTCTAGCAGGTCCCGGGCAATAAATAACAACTGGACGGAGTCGGCCATGATGTCACGGCCGGCTTGGCCCAGTTGTTATTGTTTAATGACAGATCAGAGTCCCCAGGTCATTTTGGGACACTGATCTGTCATTACAACTGGGCGGAGCATTAGTTCATCTACATAGGACTTGTGTCTACCCACACTGCATCACATCCATGCCATCCATTGCCATTACCCTGCCCCAGAGCCGTGACTACCCTCACTTGGTGTCCACCATTGAATGACTGATGATTACTTGTGACCCACACAAAGTCACCAAGACTGATAAGTAATAGTTACATGGGCGATTTTTAACCTTCAATGGAAGGCTTTATATAATAAATGTGAGGCACTGAGGTGTTCAGATATATTGGGTTGTGACAGGTGATGACTTGCATGTTCTGATAAACTGATACAGTATGTACTAATGTCTTCTGACATTGCAAAATGTTGTGAGAATGCTGTTATAAACACTGGCTACCAAGAGACATAATCAGCACTTAAATTTTTTTTTAATCTTTTATAAATGTGTTTAAAACCACAAGAATGAAACCCTTTAGTTTCAAGGCACATACAGTGGCATTTCTATCAATATTCTTACCAATCTGTGAACTGGCAGACTTGCTAGCTATTACATCACCAATGTTCTTTTAGTTTGTTTTATAAATGTGTATTGTAAAAGATCAGCTAGCATTGTTCTTGAAAAGTGTGCAAGAATTACATTCAATGGTTATGTCTGAAATGTAAAATGAAAACGTTTTTACACACATTATTATGTGACATACAAGAGTTATTTGACATGTCGTGCAAACTGATTTGTCAAGATGCAATTTCCATAATAACTTCCTGTCTTTAGCACGAAAGAAAAAACAGCTTTATTGTTGCACAATCTATGCCTTATATTTTATTAGTAAAGTTATTGTTACTTTTGTCATGATAGACCACAAAAGCTTATGTAGCTAATATGCAATTTTCCATATGTAAGTCATGTGCAATTAATGTAATTTATTTTTGCTTTTTAACATTTCCAATAACAGATATCAAAGCATTCGAAGAACAATGACAAATGATCAACCAGATGAGGTGGCAAATCCGGTTGATGCAGCAGTGCCAGTTGAGGATGTTGATTATCATCATTCAAATGCAGGTTTGTCATATCATCATACTGTTATTTTGTTACCTTCCTTTAATTATATAATATTCTAGTAAAAGCAACTTTGCAGACAATACTGATAGTGCTAACTAAATGTTAAACCCTAAAAGGTTGGGCAGAGGTCTTGGGCCAGGGTCAGGTGTTGTAAGTGCTTAAAGTGTAGTTCCATTTTTACAGTCAAATTTGAGAAAACCGACTATATATTTATCATGTGCTCCTATTGACACAGCATATCTAAAAATAATTTTTAAAACTATACCCTTTACATGTTTCTTTGGTGAAGGCCTATGTGCAGATTCCAAGCTACTCTGAGCAGTTTTTAAAGTTAAACTAGAGAGTAAAAATTAGGGTGAGACTGAGTTTCCTCTCATTAACATGCAGTGCCTCAAAGCCTTATGCTATGTGAACATATAACAAACATAAAATAGGTATTATCCCTGTTTGGCTGCAAAAGTGGTAATACACTTTAAAGATTTATTTGGTTTTAAAAAATCTTATTTGGCAACAAATTGAAACAGAACGCAGATCTTTAATAACCTTAAATTATATAATCGCTTATGTGTATGAATGTTTTTATATTTTGTCTCAAAGTATAGGGTAAATAGTTTTCCAGTTGCCTGGAAGCTAGCAAACTCTTCTGGCTATCTGCCCCCTTTTATCCCATTGGCATTCATTATCATCACACTCCACCCTTTAGCACTCATTAACCTCTTGCCGTCCGCCCGTTAAGAAAAAAACATCCCCCCCCCCAACGGATGTCAACTGGTTAAATACCCATAATAAATCCCAGGCACCATGCATGGATCCCCTGCTGATCAGAGCAGAATGGAACAAATGTCTATCTTGCAATAGAGGAAAAAAAACTGAGCTGTATGAACCCATGTTAGGTCTATGGGGAGTTGGATGTAAGTGGACATGTGTCCATTAACTTCCTCTTATCTCTGATCCATGGACTCTGTGCGTATTCGGATTTAATGGACGCACATCCATTTATATCTGGCTACCCATAGAGTTACATTGGGCTACCAATCAGATCCGCCTGCATTACTGACAGATCCACTGACACATTGAAAGGATTGCCCGTGTAAAAGAGGCCTTAATCCTAGAGTAAGCATCTTGGATAATCTTGGCTTTCTAGGGCTTTATTTCAAGTGAAAGTGTAGACAGAGCGCTAAATTCACACTTAACATACATATACTATACTCTTACCCACCAAAGAAAATTGGAATTCTGTTAATCTGGGTTTCAGTCCAAATATCCCTATCACACAGCAGAGTCAGGTTCTGACCTCTCTTTCCTGCAGTTAAAGCAATACAGACTGTGATTAGATAGTGAAGGCAGCAGTACATAAATTAGGTCATCCCTAGGTGTTCTCCTCGTATCAGCCAGCTGCCTAAAATCTGCGCAGTGTAGTACAGCCTGATTGTCATACACTGTTGCCCATTCCTGCCTGATTCCTGTTGTGCAGGTAGTTACAGGAGGCTAATACAAAGATGGACTGTGATAATTTTTCAAATTACATTTAAGATGTATTTAAAGCTAAACTCCAAGCACGAAAAGTTACATTTTAATATATTCTGCAACACCCATAAGGGGTATAAATATACTTTATGTACACCAAATGCTTTTTACAAACCCAGCAATTATATCATCACTGTGCTGTACATAGCCTGTTAGGAAAGCAGAGCTGTGGGAGGGACCCAGCAGGCCCCACCCACCACAGACTGTCTGCAGATAACTACATGGGGGGGGGGGGGGGGCAACAG